GCTACTCGCCAAAGTAGTAGGTGGAACAATGTTTTGTATAGTATGTTATGCCAATTGAGCTTGATGTCCCCCTGCAGTGTTTTTAAAAACCAAACAGCTCAGCTTAACTCATAGAGATGTCTGCCTTAGGCTTGAACCGTCTCCATGAGACCAAAGTGACAAAAGCACCTTGAAAGATGAGATGGGAGCCCTAGGGGCAGTGAGTCTATGTGAATGCGGGAGAACAACTCAGAAAAGGAGGTGAGAAGGTTACATAACTCAAAGAATGTAACCAGTGCCACTAAATTATATATGGAGAAATGGCTGAATTGGTGTGTCTTGCTGTGTATACTTTTAACAATGTAGAAGAACTTACAGAAATAATAAAATACAGCTATATGTTCATAGACTTCTTTTGAATAAAACCTCTTAAAAATTAAAAAAAGAGAAAGAAATGCGATGACCAGGGAGAAACAGGAAACAGAAAATCTCAGAAATAAGTACCTGGAGAGGGGCTGTCTGGCCAGAAACAGAACTTCTCGTGGGCAGTACACAAGGCTTTCCTCAGCTCAGCACATCGTTCCTTATCTAAAACCACACAGACAGCGAAGCCTTAGAACATACTTAGATGCAAAATCCTATGGCCAAGAGCCTTTAAGAATACAGAGATGACTAAACATAAAAATTACTAGAGAATTAACAAATGCATGAAAATAATAGGAACTATATCATCCTGGTATTTTCCACCCAACAAGATCTAACTTGAGATCCTAAGATCAACAAAGATGTCATATATCTTATAAAGCAGGACATTCCAAAGTGTGAGCCTAAAGTACTTTGCCTCTTTCCCTAAAAGTATACATTTTGAAACCATAAAATAAACAGATTGCTGTTAGTTACCTAGAATTTGAAAAATGAAAAGCAAAGTCCATTCTACGGTAGTTTAGTTTAAAAACAGAAAGCAACGCTTGAAGGGAATAACTAGGGTGAGGACTCTCAAATGGTGTTCTCTTTGTTCTATGTAGCACATTCTTCCATCAAACAGAAGTGACTGGTCTTTTCAAAAAACCTAGTATAGTATGTCTTAAAGGGGAAAAAAAAAAAGCAAAATCTTTGAATGTGGAGAAAAGTACAGTCTGAACTTTATACTTACACCTGTCAAAGTCGAAAGCGAGCTGTAAACTGGCACAGAGGAAAGCCTGGCAGCTGGAGCACTTGAGCATATCACACTCGACCGTGACCCAGCCGTATCTTGCACAGACAAGCGGAGAGAGCTCAAGGGGCTTACCTGCCCACTTCAAAGAGTGTCCATGTTAAGAAAGACAACATTTCCAGTACATTACAAAGAGTAAGTCCCAAATTAAAACTTCAACTCATCCTTTGGGTAGACAGGAATAAAAAGATTAAGAGGAAAGCAATATCAAGTGGTGAGACCATCTTTAAAGCACAGGCACACAGTTTACAGAACGATGGTGGTCATCTGAGTAACATGTGGAGAGAGAAAGTTACTGCCTTTTCTCAAGGAAGCCCTGTGTATTTTGTTTACTGGTTGTGAGACAGATTACACAGGACACTCACTTTCACTTAATATGAAATACTATGAATTTAAAAGCACCAATGAAAGTACTGGGGTATGTCTAAGCCATGAATGCACAGTGAAGTTCAAAAGCACCGGGCTATGTCTATCAATGGGTGCGTGGTGAAGTTCAAACAGGGAGAAATATTTCTGCCACTCATCTATTGTTCTTTGTTGTACTGTATTCACTTTTACCTTCACAGGGTTAAAAATAGTAAAATTAATAATGCACTTCATTATTACCCCAAAAAGTTTGATTGTTACATACCAATGTGAGAGTGTACGTGTTTGAAACAGACTGAGAGCATTTCTAAGTATGTGCTTGGGAAAGTGTCCTAAACATTTATTGATCCTTAATATTCAACATTCAGCTTTCATATTTTACCTAAAGAGCTCTTACTTTACAGAATAAAGGGGGAAAAATAGGATAAAATATGAAAGACATAGCAAAGTTCTATACTTTTATAAGAGGTATGGGAATTTGAAAAACATCCCATTACCAACAAAAGAAAGACTGAAAGCTATAAAGTAGGATTTAAATGTAACTGCTAAAGGAGCCGGGATTAGCTGCAATGAAAACAAGTCACTTAACCAATGTAAGTTAAATAAATGATTAGCCTAACAAAATTAAAATCAATTTTATTTGTTGTTGTTGTTGTTGTTATATGCCGTCGAATTGGCCCCGACTCATAGCGACCCCTCCTTGGGTTTCCGAGGCAGTATCACTACAGAAGTAGGATTGCCCAACCTTCCTTCCGAGGAGTGGCTGGTGGGTTTGAACCGCCAGCCTTCTGGTTAGCAGTCAAGTGCCTTAGGCACTATGCTACCAGAGCTCCTCAATTTTATTTAATGAAAACAAAAGGAAACAGATCTAAATGATGTCTTAAAATCAGGAACGACTCCGAGGAACAATAGCGGAAGGGTAGTTAAAATACCTTCCCTTTCCCCAACAATTTATTCCTAAGGCTTTTAGGTGCTGAGCAAGGAAGGTGTGTGTGTGTGTGTGAGAGAGAGAGAGTGAGGGGAGCAGTTCAGTGCAACGTGTCAGAAGCCCAACGGGTGACAAGGGCATCATGTAGGACAGCGCAGTGTGGAGGTCTGGAGCCTGACTGGGGAGGAGATCATAGGATAAACAGGACATTAAATACAGAGGGTGACTGCTCGATGCCGTAGAGAGATTAGAGGTAACAGGAATTAGATTTGACAGTGTTAAGGGAGGGAAAATGTGAATGAATCCTGGGATGTAGCACTGGAATTGCAGGTGTCAGTGGAAATCATAGTTCTTTAATATGCATAGAAATGAATTTAGATGTAAATGTGAGTATACATGTATAAGTGTGTGTGTATACGTAGTCCCTAGCTCTGTCCTTAGAGGGGCCCAAGTCAGTGGCACCCAAGTAGCTATGAGCTCATCTGCATCCCCATCCTGACTTTTAAATAACATCCTCCATGTAAAAGAACCAAGCATCCTTGGGAAAATAGCTGATTCCAGGAATAGGCTATGGATAGTACGAGAGGAACCTAGAACATTTTGCACCAGAAAAGCAAGAAAGTGGTCAAAGAATGATGGGAACCTGTCAAAAGGACACAGAATTGAATTTGAAGGATCCTTCCTGACCAGATCAGGTCAGTTAGAACTCTGAAACGATGATAGTGATGGATTATAACTCAATGAATAACATAGGAAATCATGAGGCCATGCCGCTATAAATATGTCAAGGCTGAAGAGGAATGAGACACTTACATAGTTTCAAAGCACCTTCCCACAAAACATTATGCTATTACAAAGGAAGAGCTCCTTTACAGTGGAAAAGCCTGACCGCCCGCCCGTACTCAGGGAATCAAAATGATCATCATCAATGAAGGGATAAATTGAAACCCTGCAACATCCCGCAGGAGTCAGTGAGAAGAACACAGCATCACTCCTTCCACACTTCTGCCAAAGATGCACAAGCCTCCATCTAATCACAGTAAACATCAGACAAAGGCAAATCGAGGAACGTGCTACAAAATAACTGGCATTAAGTACAAATCATGATATTCAAGGAAAAACTAAGGAACCCTTCTAGATTAAAGGACACTAACGCAACATCTCAACTAAATGCAACATGTCATTCTCAACTGGATCCTTTTGCTATGAAGAATGTTACTAGCACAAATGATGAATGATTGGGATCTGAGGATTAGAGGGTAGTAAGTTATCAATGTTAACTTCCTGATTTTGATAGCTGCATTGTGATTATTTAGGAGAAAGTCCTTGTTTATAGGAAATACATATTCAAATATTTGCGAGCCAGGAGCTCTGGAGGCATAGTGCCTAAGGCATTTGACTGCTACCAGAAGGTTGGTGGTTCAAACCCTTGAGCTACTCCATGGAAGGAAGACTGGGCAATCTACTTCTGTAAGGATTTACCACCTTGGGAACTCAAAAAGGGTTGCTATGAGTCAGAATCGACTTGATGGCACTGAGTTTGGTTTTCTTGTTTTTTAAATGAGGCATCACTCTGACACTGTACTCTCAATACGCTCAGGATAAAAGTTCTTTGTAACCTTTCTATGTTGTTGTTATGTGCCATTGAGTCAACCCTGACTCATAGCAACCCCTCCTTGGGTTGCTGAGGCAGTATCACTATGGAAATAGATTGTCCAACCTTCCTTCTGAGGAGTGCCTGGTGGGTTTGAACTGCCAGCCTTCTGGTTAGCAGTCAAAAGCCTTAGGCACTATGCTACCAGAGCTCCTAACCTTTCTATAGGTTTGTAATTATTTTAAAATTTAAAAATTCTTTCAATAACAAAAAACCCAGCTTCTGAATAAGCAAAGTGCAGTAGGCAGCTTCTGCGATGGCTCCCAGTGGTCCCTGATGCTGCTATTCCTGGCTTTGAATAATCTGCTCCTCTTGACTGTGGCCTGGGCACTGTGACTTGCTTCTAGTGAACAGAGTAAGGCAAAACTGACAGGATGTCACTTCTGAGATTAGGTTACAAATTAGGTTCTGGCTTCCATCTTGCTCTCTTGCATGTTTGTTCTGATGAAGCCAGCTGCCATGTTGTGAATTGTCCTTATGGAGAAGCCCAAGTAGCAAGGAACCGAGGAAGGTCTCCAACTAATGGCCAGTGGGAAATCAAAACCCCCATCCCAACGGCCATGAGGAAATGAATTCTGCCAACAACCATGCAAGTGAGCCTGGAAATGAGTCCTTCCCTAGACGAATCTTGAAATGACTTCCAACACTTTGACTACAGCCTGTGGGAGACCCTGAGTCCAAAGACTCAGTTAAGCCAAGCCTGGATTCCTGAGCCACAGAAATTATGATAATGTATGTGTATTGTTTTAAGCCACTAAGTTTTAGAGTAATTTTTTCACACAGCAATGGACAACTAATACACAAAGGAAAATCTAGAAAGAGACAGGAAGTGCAGTATATATACATACAAACCCATCTGCTTTGGGTACCAAGAGTCCTAAGATATAGTCCTGACTCTGCTATTTGTTAACAGGTTGATCTCGGGCAATTCACATAACTTACTTGAAACTGCTGCCTCTTCTTTAAGATGAGGATAATACTAAGACCTATTTTTATAGATTTAAGGTGAAGACCAAATGACGCTATGTATATAAAAATGCACTATACATGGAAGTGAGTTGTTATTTCTTCTCCTCTCAGGCTTTTAGTTTTTCTTCTGTAAAAAGAAAAGGTTAGATAACCTCAAGCGTCGCTTTGAGGGATAACATTTTCTGTTTCCTGTAAAATTTCTTACCAAGTTTTGATTCTTACATTTAAAATATCAGAGTAAGTGGTTTAACGCACTGAAGAAAAACAATTCCAGGAGCAGGTAGAAAGTTCAACTTACAGGAAGCAAAAAAATAACATGGCACTCAACAACAACACAAATAAATTATAATCAAATTTTTCAAAGGATATGGAAAATGTTTCCACTCTGCTAAAGAAGGCTTCTTTGCTTGTAGATTCGGACGGAGGCTGATCTGCTTGGGGTGATCCATTAACTGACTGGATTGTGGCAGATGGGTCCTTCCTAAAAGAAAGTGGTAGAACTTGTTACTAAGCCTTCTATGATACCATTCTGCCTAAGCATTTTGTATCTAGCTTCTCTCCCCATTATATTACCAACCACACTGACAATGGATTTTAACCTTCCTAAAACCTTTTCAGTTATGCTATTCCTCAGTTTAATATCTTCAACGGTTTTACACTATTTGCTAAATGAAATTCAAATTCGTCAGTGTGGTATTCAAAACTCTATCTATACAACAAAGATGAATCGTTTTGCACATATAGTACAGCGTTGTCAGTGAAGGCAAACATGGGTATATGGATTGATAGATGGGTGGACAGGCTGAACTATTAGGTATGTCTATGAAGTGAGGAGTGTACCCAAGAACATGTATAGGGTTGGCAGACAATGGTCCTATAACTTTATGTGTATGATCTGAATTTCCAGGTGTATAGTGGAGCTGACAAGGGGCAAGGTTGAAGTCACTGCTTGGTCACAGCCAGCTACGCAGAGGGACCAAGTAGGTGAACCTGTGGACTCGGGACCATAGTCGCAGGGGACATCAAGCTCAATTGGCATAACGTACTACACAAAACATTGTTCCACCTCCTACTGTGGTGAGTAGAGACTGGGATCTTAAAAGCTTGCAAACTGCCATCTAGATGCAACAATGGGTCTCTCCTCGTCCAGAGCAAAGAATGAAGAAAACCAAAAATTCATGGAAACAATTAGTCCTAGTGACTGGTACACCATCCAATCTGCAGCCTATATGACTATGAGACCAGAAGAACTGGATGGTGCCCGGCTACTACTGTCAACCACTTGGAAGAGGACCTATGTAGGAGATCCTGGATAGAGAGGGAGAACAATGTGGAACAGAACTCAAAATCATTTGGGGAAAAAAAGCAGGGGAGACCAGGTTTGCTGGTCCAATGGAGACTGGTAGAACCACTGAGACTATGGCCCCTAGCTGCCCTTCAGGTCTGGAATTGAACCCATGCCTGTGGTTTCCAGCCAAACAATAGACAGGCATATGAGTTGAACATTTACCTGTGAATAGATACACTCCTTGGAGAGAACAAGCATGGGAGAAAGAAGGGCTACTTATGCACTGGGAGACAGCTCAGGGGGCTGGAGTGCATGGAGGGATGGACACAGGGAAGAGGTAACTATTGGGAGGAAGTGGGAGGGGAAATGTTGCATTGTGGTAAACTGTGGTCAATGTCACGAGACAAAGTATACGTGAACTGCTATATGGAAAGTGTATTTGCTCTGTAAATTTTCACCCAAATCACAATGAAAAACAAAACGAAACTCTATCTATAGTTGGCCATAGCTAACTTTCTAGCAGTTTCTACCTCTGGAGTGCTGCACTAATGCTATACTAGCAAACTGTTCTCCTACCTCACTCACTGTGCCCCCACAGGCCTTTGCTTAACTTTGTTGTTGTTGCTGTTATGTGCTGTCCAGTCAGACCCAACTCATAGCTTGGGTTTCTGAGGCAGTATCACTACAGAAGCAGACTGCCCAACATTCCAAGGAGTGGCTGATGGGTTTGATCCACTAGCCTTCTGGTTAGCAGTCAAGTGCTTTAGTGAACACAAAATAAGGCTCAAGGTGTCGGTCACACATCATACAGTATGAACTACTTTAGAGATTCAACTCTTTTAATAACAGAAAGAACAACTTCCTTATTAGTACCTGAGTGAGTTCCTGACTTCTACCCTCACCTTCTTATAAAAAGAGAACTAATCTGAAAACTCAAACCAGAGTAAAGACCTATAGAAGAGTTCATAAAAACTCTGAGAGAGAAAAATAATGAGCAAAAGAAATACCTCATTTTTAGTGAAAGCCATTAAAATGTTACCCCGGGGAGGAAATACTGAAAGATATGATTGTAATAAAAATAGGATTACACCAGTGACTATTGTAACAACAACATCAACACAATTTACTCTAAGTACCTTTCTCAGAAACTCAGAGAGAACTGGGGTAGGGTGAGTTCTTGGGAAAAAATTCAGAGGATCCGTAAATTTAAATGAGATAATGACATTTATTTCACAATGTACTAACTGAAACTTAGCATTTCCTTCAATTATGAAAGTCAAAAAGGAGAGAAGCATTAGCAGCACCTGTGAATCTGTCAACAGAATCGGATATTTTGTCATCACATTATGGTTGTCACACGTTTTAAAATACCGTTTACGTGCATCACTACCTGGAAACCGCAGGAGATAACAGATCCGCCACTGGATAGTACTTATGATTCAATCTCTTTTTTCTTCTACTAGCTTCATAACTGCATTTTCACGTAATTAGCTTCCTTTACAACCGTAGGGAGCTCTGGTGGTGTAGTGCCTAAAGCACTTGACTGCAAAACAGAAGGCTGGCGGTTCAAACCCACCAGCCACTCCTGGGAAGGAAAGTTGGACACTACTTCCGTAGAGATACTGCCTCGGAAACCGAGGAGGGGTCGCTATGAGTCGAAAGGACTCCCAGGCAGTGAGATTTATAATCCTAAGTATTTTACTTTATGTCTTTAAAAAGTATTATTCTGAGAAGGGATTCATAAACTTCACCAGACTGGCAAAGGGGTCCACGGCACCAACAACAACAAAAAAAAGTTAGGAAACCCCAAAAAACCAAACTCACTGCCCTCGAATGGGATCCGACTCACCGCGACCCTCCTGGCATTTCCGAGGTGGTCTTACTACGGAAGAACCCCAAACAAGAAAAGTGAGGTGCGCACTTGCAGTTCGCGGCTCTTCTTTCCCAATAACCCTCTACGCGGAAATACCACCCCTACTGGCGCGTCCGATAAAGCCCCAGGAAAAAGACAAGGCTCGTCGAGCGCAGCAACCGCATCTGCCCCCGGATCGCAGGAAGACGCCATCCCCAAAGCCCCAGGCGAGAACCAAGGTGATCCCTGAGGCCTGCGTTCCCCATCCCTTGCCAATCTGCGGGTCCCGGACCCAGGGAGGCCGCGCGAACTCACGCGTCCACGCTCCCCTCTTCTGGGGAAATCCCCTCATCTATCAGCTGCCGGACTTTCTGGGGGGTCCCTTCTGGGGAACGAACAACTGCACCCCAATTCTTTTCAAACCCCGCGACAAACGATTGCCCATCAGCGGGCGCCGCCATCTTGGTCCGCTGCCGAGTGGCTTCCCCGCGGGCTTGAACGCTCAGGAGCATGCGTTCTAGACGGTTAAGATCCGCCCTGGCACGTGACCTCTGACCCACCCCCTCCGGCCTATGTTAGAGCCAGTGTGTAGAGCCAGTGTGTAATGTGGGGGCTGTAGTGCTTACGACTAAATCTCCATTAATCATTCCTTTTATGAACGAACGGGACTCTGGTGGCATAGTGCCTAAGACATTTGATTGCTAACAAGAAGGCTGGTAGTTCAAGCCTACTAGCCACTCCTGGGAAGGAAGACTGGGCAATCTGCTTCCATAGAGATAATGCTTGGGACACCCCAGAAGGAGTCGCTTTGAGTCTGAATTAATGACTGCAGTGAGTTTGGTTTGGTTATGAACAAAAAGAGCTCTTGTAGCACAGTGCCTAAGGCATCTGACTGCTAACCAGAAAGTTGGTGGTTCAAACCCACCAGCCACTCCTGAGAAGCAAGACTAGGCAATCTACTTCGCTAAAGATTTACTGCCTCAGAAACCCAATGGGGGTCACATGAGTCATAATCGACTAGTTAGCAGTAAGGTTTTTATCAACGAGCATGTTTGGGCTGACAGCGTGTTTGTAGAGGGATATCACTCCAAATTCAGTTAGGATGAGGGTTGCACGTTAGCCTTAAAAGTTATTCATGTTAATATTTAGTATTAAGTCTGAAGTAATTCATTTCTAAATTATACCTTTTTACAAATAAGGAAATGGAGACCCTTGCTTGAGAGCAAATAGTTTAGAATGGTTGGATTTAGAGACTGTGGCATTTGACACTATTGAACACTATTGTCCTGCAAATATTGTGTCCTACTAATTGTACTAGATGCTGGCAGTGACCACAGTGAACAAGGGAGACGTAGTTCTAAGTGGAGTTAGACATCAAGCAAATAAATTGTCCTTTGGTTTTAAAATTATGATTATGTAAGTGGCTTAGTGCCTAAGGCATTTGACTGCTAACCAGAAGGCTGGTATTTCAAACCTACCAGCCACTCCTGGGAAGGAAGACTGGGCAATCTACTTCCGTAGAGATACTGCCTCGGAATCCCAAGGAGATGTCACTATGAGTCAGAATTGATTTGATGGCAGTGAATTTGGGGTTTTTTGGGGGAGTTTATAAAGAAGACTTAACAACGGTCCAATTGGAGGACTTAATTTAGGCTTCAGATTGAGGAAGTGGTGCTGAAGCTGAGATAGATGAGACTGTGGGGAAGAGACCTGCACAGAATCTCCCAAAGATCCAGTCTGGAAGGAGTTTGTCTCTTATAATAAGCTGAAAAAGAAGACTAATGGAGTTGAGCAGTGTGCAAAAGGGAAATTGGGATTACCCCTATCCTTCCAGCTCACTGCCTATGGCTCTGTCTCCAACAGTGTTCCCACTCACTGGGACCTGCCCCTAACATCCCTTCCCATCTTAAATTCATTGTCAATCATTATCATCATTTCTTTGCAACACAGACTAAAGATTAATTAATGTTAAAGAATTGTTACCCATATAGCTATTGAGACAAACTTGGTACTATTAAAATTTTGCATATTATGCTATCACCTCCCCCCATTGACTAAAAAGTATTTCTTAAGAATCTTCTTTGGAGAGTATGAAGGGATGGACACTGGGAGGAGGTGACTGTGGGGAGGAAGTGGGAGGGGAGCTGCTGCATTGTAAATTTTGGTCAATGACATGAGACAAAGTATATGTGAACTGCTGTATGAAAAGTGAATTT